CATCTGACATAAGGATTTTAAGACGCTGATTTTCTGCCCACTTAAGCATCAGGTGAACTTATTCTGTGAGTCAAAATGTATGTTTACAATGCAGGCATGATAGCATTTTTAGATCAAATTTTTCTAAGTGATTAATTGTGCCATAGTTCTAACTTTAAACAATTAAATCTAGTAAATTAGTAAATAGGGAGCTGTTAGTAAAAAGGATATTTTCAACTCTTTAAAAGTCGGCATGTTTGTGATTCTCTGATAATACAGACTAATCCAACGGATCAGTTCATGAGAAGAACAGGGACAGAAAGTGACTCCAAGGAACGAAACACTGTAAGCACTGTTATTATTTCCGAACGTGGACGTAAAATCAGACGTAGTCTACTTTGTGAGTCGACATTAATTCAGACTTATGCAGCAGTGCACTCTTATAGCCCGTACTTTTATGGAGAGCCACTAGTAGGTTACCGTATATTGTACTCAAGTCAAGTTTATGACCCAACATGTTGATAATTGCGTGCAAATGGCAGACTTTGCCTTCACTTCAACATCAATTGCTAGTTCTTCTCGGTGCTAATCTAGCAAATCCCGAAATAGCACGCTCATTCTATTGCAATTACGGGCCTTCCGCTGTATAAAAATCACCTACTTGTACAGTTTCCTCTCGGTGTTGATCGTGTTATCCATGCTTTGCTCCATAAAGCACCAGATTTGATTCAGTCGGTGAAATGTGATGGCTGCGATTGAGAGTTGGCTTATCTGATTGGAATCATTGAAACAATCTCCAGAGATAAATTTCTTTGAAGCACGTTTTAATTTTTTCACATTAGTTTCAAGTCAAACTAATGTGAAACTATTCATGTGTTTACCTTACAGATTGACCTTATTCCAACATTAGCACCTGTATCCCAAATTGTTAGACAATGAGGTCTTTGTAAATTCAATTTATGAATTTATCTAATTTATCTTGGGTGACAAGGATTTCGGGGGTCATTGTTACGAAATGATTCTTGTTTTGGTCGCATTTGGATATCCGGACTGTGGATTATAGTTTTGACAGCAGTGGTCGGAGAGGTACCTAATTGAATACTTAATAAACTACCTCGTTCATCTGCTAAGGCAAGAAAGATTCCATCAGAATCGCAATAAGTGACATAACCTCCGCGCTCCGAATCTCACTTAGAACTTCCAAACAAAAATAAGGGAAAACGGAAGAATTCTGGTGGTAGCATTGATGCTCATGGCGGGAGCACACTTGGCCTCGTCCTCTTTCGTTGACGTGCCAGAGATTCCAGAGATTCGCATGTTGCTTTTGGACAAATTCCTGCCCGCCCTTAAATGTGTCCAGCAGTTTGACCACGAGACTTGTCTTTCATTTTCATGGATCTCCCTACGCAGGCAGGTTCATAGGATTCTCATCCGGGAAATTCATTTGAGCTTAGAGCAAATAATCACTCAATCACTCTTCGGCGTCATGATGAGACAGTGACAACTTGACTCACTCACCGCTTCGCCATTCATTGCATTTGGCCTCTCCACGGTCAAATGAGAGTGCCACAACAATGGCCAATGGCGACGAGATATGATAAAGATGGCTCATAAAATCTCAGACTCAAGTCGACATCTTAACTTCATCATGCTTCTTCCGTTTCTAGCCTCCGGGCCGAGATTAAAGCCCAATAGAAAATTAGAGGCATTTCAAAGTCTTAAAGAGGGGCAGTCGTTGACGTACTCCGTTGAAATATTCATCCATTCTTAAATGGGCCTATTTGCTCTATGTTGTATGAATTCTGTCTAGAGTCTAGAAGGCCCAAAGAAGGTACTGTAACATGTGAGTGGAACATAAAGGGCAAGAGATGAGACATGGATAAAAGGGGCGTCAGCTTTAATGGGAATTTTACAGCATCAAGATAAAACATGGGAACCGAAAGGGAGCGAGCGAGCGAGGCATGGTGGTGGATAGATAGGCATGCTCGAAAAGATTATTGTCTCCCCCTTTATCCGTCGTGTTCATGAACCGAAAACCAGACACAACGAATCCATGTTTCTGTCGCTGGTTCCGGATCTGGTTCTTGTGCAGTTCTTGTAGCATGAAAGCTGCTGCTGCTCGCGATCCTCATGTTGTTGGTTAAAATCCTCTCGTACTCTGTGAAAGGGGAATATATGGTAATCATGAAAATGTATACTCTCGATTATTCTAAACCATAGTTCAGTATAAGCGGACGTGGACTATGCAAACCTTCCAGGTAACGTGAATATAGTTGACAAGAAGACGAGGGCAAAAGCCAGTTCCTGCTCTTCATGATTGAAGAGGTTTGTATTTTTCGTTTGGAGTCTCCCGGGGTGGAAGTGCATGCAGGAAATCTCACACAACGACATGTTCTACCGTTTCACTGTTTTATTTCTAGGCCATGTTTGATGTGCTATGTCATGTTTATCCTATCGTTTATCGTGCACGAAATCTTACCTATATGTGGTCGTGATTCGGATATTCTCATGCATAATAAGTTTATCAGTTGCAACGCTAGTTGAACGTAAGAAACGCTCACGAAATATGTGAACCCCAATCCAGAGATACGTCAATAGGACGCAAGGAATGATCACACCCAAATCCTTGTCTACCATTTGATAAACCATCATCGTACATATTACAAAAACAGACTCCTCTGATATCATGAAACTTGTTTGTCTTGACTACGAACGAGACGAAAAGGGAGCAAAAGAAAACAAAACAAGTCCTCCGCAACTTCTTTCCCTTCGGGGATCATGAAGTGGATTTTCCATTGCTTTGTATCTTAGTGGCAGAGAATATAGGGCTATTGATTGCCTATTTGATACGAAGCGTTTCCCTTCGATCATAAGGCCAAACAAAAAAGAGACGTATCATCACAAACTTGAGTGACAAGGGTGCCAAGTGTATAGGAGAACGATGTGAAGACCTGATCGACTCGTGCAATGAAGAAATTGAACGTAAAGCAGGAGCTAGACATTGATGAGAAATATGTCCTACGGCGATATCTCAAGTAGATCAAAGTAGGATCTGAATATTCTCCAAACTTCATATTAGATATGTCACATCTGAATAAATATCATGTATACTACACTAGGGAATGTGCAAACCAAGGGAGCTTGGGTGTAGAATTGATGATTCCAGTATCTGAGATGCTTTCTACATGTTACCCAAGTCATTTACCAGGACCTCTAGTTAAACACAATTGATAAGCCAGCTCCTCGTAACATACTCATGAGCAAGTACGAAGGGTTGGCTTTTTTATGCCGAGTCGATTTTAGGTTAATGGTCCGCAAGGCCACAACATCGACATTTCTCGCTGCATGTCGTTCGGAATCACCAGGATGGAGACCGTTTCAGTTCAAGTTCTCGTTTGTGCAAGTTGCCCAATGCCAGATCCAGAGGCAGAAAGTGCAAAGTGTGAGGCGGTGTGTACAAGTGGTGTGCGGCCAGACCCAAAAGGTGTGTCGTTATTATTTAAGGTGGACCGATAAAAAACACTACATTAGATCAGAGATTTACTATCATTTGTTGGGCACACGCAAATCCTGAGCTTCGTGGAGGGGAAAGAGAAGAGCAGAGGAAAGAAAAGCTTTTGACTCGCGCGGCTCGCCCACCTGCATCTGCAGGCTGAACCAAAAAGGGACTTGGTCCCGCTCGTTCGCTTGCTCGGAGAATGGTAGCTCGAGTTGGAGAAAGAGATGAGCTACACGAATGTCGATTTGGTGGAGCCAAGAGGGAGCGAGGGAGGGGAGGGGAGGGGAGAGAGGGAGAGAGGGAGAGAGAGAGAGAGAGAGAGAGAGAGGAAGGGGTGGACCCACCATGGAGACAGGAATTAAAAGGAGCCAACAAATTTTCAAAAGCTTAATAAAGCAGGAAGTGAGGTGAGGAGGGAATGTTGAGGGAAGTACGCTGAAATCGTCTGGGCGGAGGAGATTCACAAGTTGGAGATCAGTTGAACCGTTGGGGAAAGGGGAGCGAGGGGGGGATGGGGGGGATTTTACAACAGCTACGAGTTCACATGTCTTGAAGAAGGGCCCATGAGAAGAAGGAGGAGGACGGGGGGAGGAAGGGAGAGGGGAGAGGGGAGAAGGGGGGAGGGTAATAACGATAACTGCTGCGAGATCTACCGCAGCTGCACCTGCTGCTCACTTCTTTATTGCGAGAAAGCGAGGAATTCATAACATGGGATGGGAAGATGCCGCAAGCGTAGCGCATCCTTGAAAAGATAGCAGGCTGACGCAGCGGGTGGGGCCCGGGCGAGCAAGTCAGGCAATTAGAACTTTAAATATCGCGCATCGAAGAGCGTGCACAAGATGAGAGCCACTTACAGAAGAGACAAAGCTTCTCTCATATCTTCCAAACAAAGCGTACCGCAGTATCAGGAGTGGGGGACACAATGATCCATATACCATACCCTCTCCCGCTCTGCGGGTGTGGTAATGATCAGTCTATATCACTCAGATTCATGCTAACGGCACTTTTGACCTGTAGGTGGCAAGCTTTGGACGTTTCGTTCGCTTTAGACAGTGCAATGATCCGATCCATTGCGTTTTGTTGGTTTCCTTCGAAACAAACCTCTCATGCTCCACAGAAACTGCCAAGCCGAGCTCGAGAAGGAGTGGTACTCGGCCCGCCCCTCCACTTGCACCAGATCACACACAGCCACAGGCCTCCATCCCTCCGTCCGACGTTTAACTAATCTTCTCGATAATAACTCTGAGAGAAAAGTCAGTGCTCGCGGCGTCGTTGCTCTCTCGACAAGAGATTATTGCAAGGCAGGCAACGTGAGCTCGAGCTCGCTCTGTCGTGAATCCGTGATTACGAGCACCAGCAGAAGGGGTAAAGACGAGAGTGGGAATAATGCCAAGTGCGCCAAATATGGCGACAGCGCGGGTCGCGTGGGTGTCAGACGATCCACATTCCACAGGAGTCGGAAGAGAGAGAAGGAGAAGGAGAAGCAGAAGCAGAAAGAGAGTGAGAATGAAAGAGAGATTATTCAAGATGAGACAAGGGTTCTCAAATTTTATTTCTCCAGAACAAAATACAAGCCGCGTTTGTGGAAACACACTGTGCCAAAGTAGCCAAATGGCGAAGGCCCGTCTTGAATTAAAAGAGGCGTGCCAAGCCAACGATAGATTCATTACAGTGTTTTGTACCTAATCTGGCTACCAGGACTTCGGAAGTCTATCTCTGCAAGTGACAGAAGCCATCTACCAAAATGCTCGAGCACTTGCACAACAATACGTTGCATCTTCCCAACAGAAACTACTAAAAGGACTGAGTGATCAGGGGAACACTACGCCGGTATGCACTCATCAAGTCGTCTAGAGTCGGGATCATCATATGGCGGACTTCATGAAGAGCTAGTACAACAATTTAAGGAAAAATCTCTATGCATGTAACTGACAAGTGTACCTCTTCTCCATCTTCTTCTTCTCCATCTGTCTCTAAAGAGTTCATCAGCAGCAGCGATGTGAAACTGGCTGAGACTCTGCACGTGTAGTGTATGATTTGTTGCGGTCACTTGTCCCACCATCAGCACAGAGTATCATCTCCCAGCTCACAGAAAGGCAGACTTTCGCAAGAAGAAAAATTTTCGAGGCAGTCTATACAAATGTGAATGGGGTTTCCAATTGTTTTGACATGATCAACAAAGTAATAGTACATGACCAGAGTGACCGCTTTGAAGATAGTGTACATTGGGCCCTTGGGAAGGAAGCCCCAAAGGATATTATTTGTCTGGCCTTGGGGCCATGGTTGTAACAATCACCCCACCTCGCCCCCTCTCCCCCTTGGATCTCTTCTCAGACATGCGCTTCAAGGGTCCTGGCGGACTACCCACGGGGAAAAGGGAGGCCATGATACTCATCATCATCCCGATCATCCCGATCCTGCAGGCCCAACATGGTGGAATAACGGTTGCCAATTAGCAACGCCTTCACAAGTTTGGCTTCTGCGAGTTACACTACTTCCCTCTCATCTCAGCTCACTCCACTCCTAGACAGTCTTCACTCTCGGCCAGCACCTCCCCTCTCCTCTCCTCTCCTCTCTGCAACACAATGAATCAAGTAAATTGGACCGAAAAAAGTGAAGGAAAAAAAAGTTAACGAAGAAGATAAACGATTTCTGGACTATCACAATCTCTTCTCTAAGCCAGCGCATTCAGCAGTAGCTCACCCACTCGGAAAAACTACGGGATCTGACTGATTGCCATGGATTCGCGAGGATCCACGCGAGAACATCGAGTTTGGCCAGGACGGCGAGGTCGGGGAATATACACAGAGGGCGACACAGACAGAGGGGACTCGAATCTGCTGCTGGGTCGATTTGTTCGGCTCAGATTTGGATTTCGGAGTGAGAGAGAGAGAGAGAGAGAGAGAGAGGGATCTCCTGTCGTGGGGACACAGAACGGGGAAGGGGACAAAGTGTGGAGTGCAGAACTGGTCGAGGTAACAACGAGTCAAGCCCGACAACCAACCCTCGATCATGCTCGAGCGTTCGTTGGGCAAGCAGTGGAGTGTACAAGCACAGCAGAAGTAGTAGTAGTAGTAGTATCGGACACCGAGTGAAGATGATGATGATTGGTGATGATGATGATGATGAAGGCGGAAGTATCAGATTGGACAATTTCGTGGACAGTGACTGCCTGTCGGAGCTACTACGAGGAGAGGTGGCTGGATCCGGTGACAAGCACGGAGCTAGAACGAAGATTCTGCTCACAAGTTATCCCCCCATTGGGCTCAGACTTGATAGTGCGCGGACTGGAGCCACTACTGCTCGAATCAGAGAAGGAGCCAAAGGTTGCTTTCTGTAGGACGCCGGTGGGTGATGCCATGCGTGGGCTGTCCCGCGGGCTGCTGTCCCATCCATCACAAAGCAAATTAAGGCATGAGCTTTTGCCCCCGCCGCGCGGGGTGCTGGACTGCAGCACTTCTGCTAAAGGCCCACCCACAGGTGTTTCCCAGGTGATGGGAATCCAAGGGGGCTGCCGGTGCCGATCCTCATTCATTCCCAGGCCCATCCCAACACCGAGCCCCATGTGGGTGGGATCAGTTCCGAGATGGTCTTCTTCTCCCGCCCTGGACATAGAGAGCTTCAAGGGTGAGAGAGATAACTTGCCTCGCGGTGGACTGGCATTGGAGGTGGGGAAGTCTGAAGAAGTCACGGGAATAGAGATGGACAGCTGAGTGGTGGAGCCATTGCTGCGATTGGACCTCTCCTCTTCCACATCCGACCACGAGAGCGCCGACGGATCCCGCGGCCTCGGCCAGTCATCAAAAAAATGGCGCAGCGGCTGCCCCTCGGGCTCGCGCACCACGCTCACAGCCTCCACAGCGCCGTACCCATTGCTCAGGAACGAATGCTGTTGTTGTTGCTGCATGCTGATGTTCACCTGGCTCGTCTCGGGCATGAGCCCGAAGTCCTGCCCTCCCAGCAGCGTCCGCATTTGGGGCGTGGTGTAGTGCAGCAGCGAGCTGCTGTTGCCCGATTTCGGCTGGGGCGCCGGCGGCACCTTGCTCGACAGCGCTTGCCACGAGTGGTTCACGGACGACAGCCGCGACAAATTGCTCATCGACGGCGAATCCTGGCCCAGCCCCCTCGCGCTGCCCGACGTCTCCGAGAACAGCATCTGCTCGGGCCCCATGCCCAAATCCGATTTGTTCATCCCATTCAGATACCTGCGCACAAGCACGTCAGTGAGCAATATAATCCATCTCCCGCCCCTCTACTCGAGTGCCAGAATCCAACACTCCCCGTCCCCTCAATCCATCCATCATCCATCATTCACCTCCCCCAACAACCTCCTCACGAAGCTCCGTACAGAATCTTGCTTAGTGGTACCTGTAATCTTTATTGCCCAGGGCCGACGCCCCGGACGCTGATTGCAGCGGCAGCTGGAATTGCGACCCCGAGGAATTCGACGTTCCCGACGTGCCGATGGAAATCCCCCCGGCCCCGCTGCCCGAGTGATTGCTGCCAAAGCTCTTCATCCCCAGGCTTTGGTGCTGTTGCTGCTGCTGCTGCTGTTGTTGTTGTTGCTGCTGCTGCTGCTGCTGGCCCCCTCCGTGCTGAGAGGACGCAGAGATGGTGGGTGAGAGGTTGCTGTGGCCCAGGCTCGAGCCCCCGGACCCCGGAACCGATCTGTTGGTCGTCACGCTCGACGAATTCGCTGCGGCCGACGAGGCCGTGGCGGCCGGAGAGGTGGATGTGGCTTGCCCGTCCGTGGGCTTCCTCGACCGATGTCGCCCTCGGTGCATGTGTCTCTCGCAGTACTTCTGATCGGGCACCACGTCGCGCGAGCATCGCCATTTCTTCCCGTCCGTCCGTCGGCATCGCCCGGGCTCGGGGTCTGCATTGCTCGCCACTCCCAGATGGAATGTGCCCCATCCCACTGCACCAGCCAAACCAACCACACACAATAATATCAGAGAGGGTCCCCAATTCCCCAACATCGATCCTACTCACTCCCCCATAGCTGGTCCGCCCTGACCACTGACAGTCTGAGAGCCGGATAAAACCCTGACATTGCGAGTCCAGGCGTCGTTCCCATCGCGGGAAGACGAAATGTGGGTAGAGCGACCGACGAGCATGAAAGACAGAAGCGCAGCGAGAGTGCGCGAGAGAGATTCGCGAGCTGCTTACTGTTGGTGGCGTGGTGCGAGGCGGGCGTCAGCCCGTTCATGGCCGCCACGCTCTTGCGGATGGGATTCAGTAGATCCGGCGGAACATTGACGCCCGCCATCATGTACTTGAAAATGAGGGCCTGGTGCTCGAGCTCGGCCCACTGCCCCGTCGTGAAGGGCGCGCGAGCGCTGGAAATGTTCTGCATACTCATGTGGCCCACTCCTTCGCGGCCCATGTTCAGAGAATTTCCTGCGGGTCACCACAAACGCACACGAAACAAAATCAGTCCACGCGACCCAAACTCACACTCTCGACTGCTACATGCGGGGAGACTGAGCGGGGCCATTCATGAACTTCCCTCGGGGGGAGAGAGAGAGAGAGAGAGAGAGATAGAGAGAGAGAGGGCATGCTTCGCACATGGGCCCGCATTGCTGTCAGCAGCTCGGCCGGGGCCGATCAAGTGGAGCAGGACGGGAGAGTCCTTGCAGCAGTGGCCAGTTCGGTCGCATGCAGAATGCAGACGAAAGGTCGGGAAGATGATGAAGATGATGATGATGAGCAGCAGCAGCAGCAGCAGCAGCTGTGCCGTCATGTACGAGCTCATCACAATGTAGCTAGACTCTATCAAAACCCCACGACAATCGACTGGAAAACCCCACAGTACGAGCATTTTCCAAGAATTGGACAGCTTGACCGCCGCTGCCTTGCGCGGGGAGTGGGGGAGAGCTCGAGCTCGCCCCACGGCACACTGACTCTCAAGGCATAATAACAATTTCAAGAAGCTCGCGATGCATGCAAATTGGTCACGGGCGACGCAATCCCAGAGGGAGGCGAGGGCACAGACTTCGCGCCGGGGCGTGCATTTGAACACGTCCATGGAGTGCATAGAGCTCGTGGAGGAGGAGGGAGGTCAGTAAGCGTACCAGCAGGTTTGTAATGGTAGGACTGATGATGGTAGGACAAGGGCGAGCGGCCGGGCTGCTGAGCTCCGGGGTAGGCAGGAGCAGACACCACAGAATCTGAGCGCATGAGCTGGCGAGAATCAGAAACCACGGTTGCATCGCTGCCGAGCAGGGCGCCATCTGAGGCGCAAGAGTTGGTAGGTGAGCATCCCAAGCGCCCATCCGAGACGACTGAGTTGCTCCGAACGAGCGAGGCACCGGGGCTGCCGCTGCTCATGTGCATTTTCAGATCCGACTGCCGGCAAGAAAAGGAATCCGTACGAGCGAGCTTGAGGGGACCTCGACGGTCATCGCCTCCGCCTCGCCCATCCAAGTCCATCTCGGATCGGCACTGCTTCAGCGGATTTAGGCCTGGCGACATGGACCCCACGGATGTAGGAGGCATATTGTGGTGGCTGGGCATTCGTGAGCGATGATGATTGTCTGTGAGGTCCGACGACAGTGAGGACAGCGGGCGCTCGCCGAAACCCAACGCACTGCTTGTGAGCCCGGCTGTGGCTGCAGCGGAGCTGTGTGAGAAGTCCATATAATAAAGCCAGTCGCAACCTGCGTCTCTAGTCTACTATAGCCCCCGTGCTGCCAGCCCCACTGCCCATCCACACTGAAGCTTGTGCAAATTGACGCTCGACCTTCTTCTTCTTCTCGGACTGCGAGTGATCGACTGGAGAGCAAATGTGCGGGAATTCTCAGTCACCCTGTGTCGCCTTTCTAGCTATCCCTCCTGCCTCAAACTGCACGACGGCGAGTGAAATGTGTACCTCCTTGTAGCATGCAGTCACAGCTCGGTCGTCGGTCAGGCAATGCCAAGGTGCGAGGTGCTGCACAATGATGATGATGGAGGCGGCGACAATGCTGCTGCTGCCTGCTGATGCTCGCACCAATCAAAACTCCGAGACCCAACCAGCCCAGCCGGTGCCGCCGTAGCTAATGGGAGGGCAGCCCAGCACAACCCCCTCCCCACATCCGGCTCAACGTTGTTGCGACACGAGGAATGATCCGTGGGTGCAAACAATTGCAGACTAGATTTTTCGGAGCATCTGATATCGAGAGGCCAGCGGGGGTTCCGAGGCGAGCTCAGCTGGAGCTATGGGGAGGGAGGGAGGGAGGGAGGGAGGGTCCGACCGTCAGCCGGGAGATAATCGCACCCGAGTCACAGCTCAGAAGGAGCAGGCGAGTGAATTCGCGACCCCGTCGACCTCGCGCAGCTAAGCCGAGCTCGCAGGCTCACTGTCGAGGGGCGACGCGACCTCGCACACCTGCCTCGGTGCACAATGTATATCGTTCCTCCTTCGTATTTCGGTTTCGTCGTTCCTGCGTTTCGAATTCATCCACGGGGTCAAGAAACTCGCCACACACGCACCCCGCACGCTTTCGGAAATTTTCCTGTGATTCGAACGCGTTGGGGGCAAGGCAGCGAGCGAGAGAGGGAGTGAGTTCGCACAGTTTTCGACGTTTATGTCACCGCTGCTTTTCAGTGACACAGTGGTAGTAGTAAAGGACGAGCCGACACTCCTGTCGATTTTGCTCCGAGCTTCTTCTTCTTCGACTCTGAGCAAGTTTCGGGGCAGACTGACTCCAGTACTGGTGGCTGACTAGCTTCTCTCGAGGAGAATGAACCGAACCCAGCACTCTACTACTCTTCTCGTCGACTCCACACTCTCACTCACATGTCCTCACTCCACTGAGCTGGAGAGGGCTCAGAGAGAGGTCGAAGTGAGAGAAAAGAAGATCACTCGAAGTCGGCGCAGAGCTCTTAAGTCTCAGGAGCAGGCAGACGCTACTGACTGACGACACAGCCCCCGGCCAGCGTAGAAGAAGGGAAAGGTTGGGTCTGAGCGAGGGAGGAGAGAGAGAGAGAGAGAGAGAGAGACCAGGACCAGGTCCCAGGAAGGGGAGAAGAGGGAGAGAGAGGAGAGGAAGGAATGGAGAACAGAAAGAGTTGCTGCCATTGGGGGGGTATAATATGTAATAAAGCTGTGCTGTGCTGTGCTGTGCGGCTCAAGGGTCGGGTGGGGGTGGGGTGGCTCGGGCCGGGTCGAGTCAGGTCAGGTCGGGTCGGGTCAAGCTGGGCTTCTGGGACTGGAGAAGGAAGGATACAGACACAGGCGCGCATCTCCTCGTAGAAGTACAACGCTACTCTGGCTTCTGCCTCTTCTTCTCCCTCCTCGTGTGTAGATATGTCCATGGAGCAGCTGCAGGACCAGCAGCAGAAGCTCTCGTGTACTTAGCCAACTGTGGAGGGAGTGAGGAAGGAAGGAAGGAGGGGGTTTCGATCTTCCAAGCCGACGACGACGACGACAACCTGCTTATGGCATGCCCTATGCCACGTGAGGCCGCTGTACAAGCCATTTCTCGCCATCACCACTACCACACTACTCCTGCTGCTGCAGCTGCAGCAGCAACAAGGAAGAGGTGGGGGGGAAGAATTCTGCAAGTATCTCTCACGTCGCGCATTGAAACGCCGGCGGTTCCCATATCCGATAGTCGACAAAAGAAATAACCGGCGCGGAGCCCCGAGTTTGTACCGTATCTCAGTCCGCCCCGCCTCGGAGCAGTACTGTCGATGCAGCAGCACTCGCTTTATTATTCATAATATGGCGAGCTTGGGGATCAAACCCATGTTTGTCGCTCGAGCTGGTGGAGCTTGTACTGACAGACATTACCCTCTAGCTCTACGTAGCAGAAGGCGAAATGCCAAAAGCGGATATACATATGTTATGTACATTGGTTACTGCCTTTCCAGATTTAATGTTTGTCTTTTTGGCTAACACATTTCCAAGCCAGTCAAACGCTGCCACACCGCTGGGGTCCCGGAATGATTAGCCCCCCCCTCCGCCCCCGGCCCCCAGCCTCTGCTTTTTACAGATTTCGATTTTAGTTTCCTCCCAAGCTCAAGAAAAACCTCGAGAAGAAAATCTCCCACTGTACTGCCAAAGCGTTAGATTGTCAGTTTCGGTGCCCGACTTTAAATATCAGAAACATTTGCGTGATGTTGTCGATGTACAGGTTGCGAGCAGATGCTAAGGTAGAATGTTTGTTCGAGCTGGAATCTACACGACCTTTAGCGAAAAGCCGAAAAGGTAGATGAAACAACCATTCTATCCGACCGCCTCACCCCAAACACTGCTCTCTCTCTCTCTCTGTGTGCCTGAAAGAGACATATATTATATTGCCCTCCGCATAAAACAACCTCTTTGCATGCTAAACCCCACGGCTTCACGATACAAAACCTGACTTTCATGTCGTAGTGAGTCAACGACATTAGTCCTAATATCGATATTGGATCGAGTTGCGCCCGCTTTCAAGGGTGCAAGAGGAGGTTGCTCGGCCGCCACCTCCGATGTTTTGAAGCGTCATTGCCAACCAAGAAATTCTAGAAAATAAAAATATATATATTGAAGTGTTGAGGACTTCGATTTATTCAAGATGTAAAGTCCTTTCCCTGATCATACATGATTAAACACACCAACGAAAAGTCTTTTTTCTTGTCATTTTGGTTCATAGCACTGTAACAATTTCTTTTCAGCGTAGAACGGATATGAACTTTTTCCCCTTTTACATGGAAGATTCTATCCTGTCTGTTGAAAGCCCACAAATATTCTTTCATTTTTTGTATAATAAATATACATGTGAATGTGCACTCAATCTTCTCGTTTATCATCTCCAACTATTCAGATTCCGTTCATGCTTACAAGAGTTTCTGGCGCCTTGTAATCATCCCTTGCATAATCCAATCATTTACCTATCCTTCCCCTTAAAAGATAAGCAGATATATAGAATTCTTCAGAGGTGTCTATATCAATTAATTGATGCTGATAATGAAAGACAAGAAAAAACGTCAATCTGAAAGAACCTCGAAATTAATGTCATTTTATTTTTTCCATGTTATTCCAGGCCCGTCTGGACACCATCTGAAAGTAAAATTAAAATATCATGGAGATAGATCAAAAGTCAAGTTCCGTTCTCATCTCAAGTATTTCTTTATATTAATCTCTTTTCATTTAGTCAGGCAAGTTATACAATAAGACAACCAATAAATCGTCCGAAGAATCAAGTTGATAATGTCTCTTTCATCACGAATGCTACATTCTACCAATCTCGCAATCATTCTTTTGGGGAACTCAAAAGGCCCCGGCATCTTTCCTTTCCTCCTCACCGATCCCCTTAACTATTTCCATGTTCATAAATTTGTTTTAACTGACCCTTCAATTGTTTCAGATTAAATATAGTTAGGCCCATCTTCCGCGGGTTATAAAATAGGGCAAGATTCTCTTCTCTCCCCCGAAGAGCTCCCTCGGATTTTTAAGGATTTATGATCTTTAATGGGCAGCAGTGGAACAATGATGAGCTTAAGATGGAGAACACCGGCTTATAAAAGTGTGCTCATAAGTAACACATAAGATGGATCGAATTCACCCAAGACGTGCCAGTATGAGGAGTAGTCTCTCACTAATCATTTCTATAAAAGTCCTTGAGAATATGTGACAAATATTAACAAAGGTAGTCATAACGTTGCCATTACAATTTGTGCGCCCCTAGGAAATGTTGAATTATGGTGCGAAGGCGAAAATGAACGAAGGCTTCTGTAGAGGCGAGCTTTTCTGCAGATTAACTGGGCAACAAAGCCTAAATTATTGATAAACCAATCATTCTAGAAAGGAGTAACCTGGCGCAGAGCCTAAGCGACTATCGGTACGCAAAACGGCGTATACATGAAAAGATGGCCGGGCCCGAGCTCGGAAGGCGTCCGGGGCGGGGGCGGGGCGGGCCCGGGCTCCGGACCAGAGCAGGCTCTCGCGTGTGCTCCCGTCGCCACCGTCAGAACAAAATGCCGGGTCGGGTAGCCGAAATCTCCGACGCCGGTCAGCAGGCAACCCACGAGCGGGCCCGCGAGGGTACACCATCCCACGTACCGGACTCCCCAGACAGGTTTTAGATCTCGGATCCCGGTCAGCATCTACAAAACACCGGCGGGCCCGCGTGAGGCGTTTACGGACCGGACATGCTGGAATGAAGATAAGGTCACGGGCCCGGTTCTCGGGCCCGCCGCGACGCTCTCCCGGTACGCAGGGGCGGCTTACGCCCGATTCCCCAAAGTAATCATGGGCAGCCGGGCTCGCCCCGGTGGGCCCGCGCTGGCCGCAGACCCGGTGGCGGGCGGGCTGGCGGGTGGCAAATCGCCGGTCCCGTCGACTCTGCGAACCAAATGCTGGTTCGAGATCTCCGGGCCCGGTCAGAGGAGATCACCAGCGCGCGCGGGCCCACGGACACCGCTAACGGAGTGTACACTTGGGCGCATACAGAGGGCTCCAGGTCCCAGGCGGGCATACCGTATCTGGCGGACCAGGGCAGAGTATCTGCCTGGGGAGGTCGCTCGCCGGCGCCGGGACCTATGAGGCCGGTCGGAAAGATGATTATCGATGATTAGCGCCGAGTAGGAGAGGCGTCAGAGCGGCCCTTATGAGGGCGCGCATCAGTACCGAAGGCGCTCTTTATCGTCCCATGTGTATAAAATATCCAGGTCGAGTCGCGTGTTCGCGAGGTCGCGCTAATTGGCGAGGCCCGGATAATATAAAATCCCCGTCGCGATCCGTCGGGGGCCCTGACACGGCGTGCTCGCTCGCCATAGGCGGCCCGCCGTGGGGTCCGGCCCGGTCGCGGTCATAGAGTCTGCGACGGCTCTGAAAGGTGGTCATCCCACCAGGTTCTGAGTCGTCTGACGCCCCCCCCTCCCTGACACCTTTGTCTCCTGTCCTTCCACGGCGGTCCTCTTGCGGGACTAGCGAGAAGTCCGTGAAGCAGAATGCATCAGTCACGGTCCAGTCCCAATCGTCGTCCTGTCCTGTCACAGGACGGCTGGCAGGTGCAGGCAGGCACAGGCAGAAAGGCCAGGCTCGCAGTCAGGCAGGCCCTCGGCGAGGACACGAAGCGTAGGGCAAGCAGGCACGCAGGCGCCAATCTACGTACTCCTCTCTGGGGGGCTCGGTCACGGCGTCTGCGGTATTGGTATTAGTTGGGGCATATCTGGCAACCGGGATTTGACCACCGGGGCAGGGCTCTTAACTCTGGGGGGCTTGTGGTGGTTTCCTGGCGAGAGAGTGGAGTAGAGGACTGTACCACTGTGCGCGCGACGACGGGCGGACACTTGGCGAGAGAGCGCCGCCAGGAAGGTGCTCCCGGGCCGGGCCAAAAGCAGCCCGGGATCGTCGAGGCAGGTTGGGTTGGGGAGCCGGGCAAAGGACGCCCGCTCTCGGGGCAATGGGCGCGCGCCACGTGCTCGCGCTCGGGGTTTGAATAAGCGCATTTTTTTATTCCATAAATGAGAGAAACTGAATAAATACGATCGAAAGTACTTGGGGCTTCTGCGGCACCTTTTGTCATATTATTTATAAGCGAGCGCGAGCCCCTCGATCGAAAGGAAACTCCCCGCTGCCCGTCAGAGGGCCAGCGGCAGTCCTTTATCTATCTATATATATCCCTCGCCCCCGTCTTACCCCGGCCCAGAGCGATCTTGGTCTCTCCGGTCGCGAGCATGCCCGGGTTAAAACGCCAATTTTACCAGGCCCGCATATTTCCAGGAACCCCCCTCCGCAGAGCGCGGCCCGAGAAGCACCCCATCGTATGCATGCATGTATGCGTGCATCCATACATACATACATACATGAATGAATGATGGCGGTGAGGCGCCTGCTGATGGCAGCTCCTACGGAGAATGGGTGAGGAATCCTGGGGCTACACTGGGCCTGCAAAGGCAAAGGTGCTACGAGGGGGGGAGGGGGGGGGGGGGCTCGGTAACATCGGCGACTGCACCCGCGCAGGGCCTGGGCGAGGCGCTAGCACAAACGAGTTACTGGCGCAGACGGGCGAAGGAAGGGGAAGGGGGAAGGGGGAATTTACCGCTCCCCGATTCTAGGGCGGTTACCGGCGCCGACAGCATTGGCCG